AGGAAAAAAAAAAAAAAAAAAAGAGGACACAAATTACTGGGTGAGATTATATTCTAAAACAAGTAGAAAAAAAAGAAGGCATAGGCACAAGGCCTAAGTCACTATTTTCCTGCTTTTTGGAGTGTGCTAAGTCAACCAATATGAACTAAGTGCTACTGTGATCAGCTGTACACCTAGAGATACAGAGAGATGGAACAAATACCCAGCATGACAAACAATGTGAGATTCTTTTGAAAATTGCTTAGAAGAGTAGACTTTAAATGCCAATCTCTCTCTCTGTCTCTCTGTCTCTCTCTCTCTCTCTGTCTCTCTCTCTCTCTCTCTCTCTCTCTCTCTTTCTCTCTCTCTCTCTCTCACACACACACACACACACACACACACCCCAAAGCAGGAAATACTAATCTCAATATTTTTGTTTTATTTTGTGTTTGGGGCTTTGTCTTTACAGTTTGTGTTTATGTTTACAGTTTGTCTTTTGCCTTGCACATGCTAGGCAAGAGCTTTAGTCAGTGACCACAAACTCAATCCCCAATTTCGAATTCAGATGAAAGACTCTATAGTCAAGTCTCAGACGAATGGCTGACCTGGATCAGTCTCTCCTATGCTCCTACAGAAGGAGAGGTCGGCGCTGGAGAGAAGGCTCAGTGGTTAAGAACACTGACTGTTCTTGCAGAAGACCCAGGATTCAATCCCAGCACCCACATGGCAGTTAACAACTGTCCATAACTCCAGTTCCAGAGGATCCAATAGCCTCTTCTGTCCTCCACAGCCACTTAAACATACATGCAGGCAATACATGCATACGCATACATACATGCATGCACTTACATACATGCAGTCACACATACACATAAAATAATTTTTTTTAAAAAAAAAAAAAAAAGGAGAGGTCAATGGTATGCAATATAATACTGACTGACCAGGCTTGGACTAGTCCATCCTTACACATCCCAAAGACAGACATGGCCTTGTCTAGCTTCTGGAAGATAAAAGTCCCTCGAATTTTTGCTCAAGGTGTCTTTTTATGCCAAGGCCTTTGGCCACACCAGGTAGTTTATGCCCGCAATGCGGTTTGTAGTGGGCCTGTGATTGTACATGACTGACACTCTGGTCCACACTGTGTCTTTGTCTACTGGTGTAGAGAGGGGAGCAGGTTGGAGTTACCATATTTGGGTGAGCGTCCCAGACTGTCAACACCTCACATGTGCTGTCAAAGACTATTACTGGCAAAAGTCAGTACTGTTTGTGGAACTTCATCAACAGAAGGTAACTGGAAGCCTGCACCTAATTTCTCCTGAGTATTTACTATGCATCTTCCAACTCTGAGGGCTTTAATTCACATTTTGCAGCTGTTGTTGTGTTTATTTCTTGTAGTACTGGGGACTGAACCCAGGCAGGACCTCACATAAGCTAAGAAAGTGCTTTACCACTGGCAGGACAGTGGGGTAGAGCTGGATTTTATTTCTAATGATTTTAATTTGTCTCATTTCACTCTCACAAAATATAGCCATGAACACACAGTTCCTTCCCCTTCTGGCTAACGTCCCCCTTGTATGTAGCAGATAAAATAATCTGTGCTAATGGCAGTGACACCATGCAACACTTCTCTACTCAAAACTCTTTCCAAACTCACTTGGAATAAAATCCAAGTCCTGAATGCCTTTGAGAGGCAGAACGTAACCCACGGAAAAGACTCACCTGCCTGCCTCTGCCTATCCACATCCCAAGTATGTGTCCACAGTCACTCTCGCTTTTTCTTACTCTCCTCCAGTCATGCAAGCTCTCCACAAGTTCCTCAAACAACCCTCAGTCTAATGTCTTTGAACTCCCCATGGTGTCACCTGGGGTGGAGGGAGAGGGGCTTTGTGCATGCTGTCACCACTGCTGTAAGTTCATATGAGCCAGTTCCAACTGGCTTAATTTTTAACATTTTATTATTTTTATTTTATGTGTATGAGTGTTATGCCTGCGCGTAGGTAAGTGTACCTGTGTCGTGCAATGTCCGTGGAGGACAGAAGAGGCCATCAGATCCTCTGGAACTGGAGTTATGGACAGCTGTTAGCTGCTATGTGGGGGCTGGGATCTGAACCCAGGTCTTCTACAAGAACAGTCAGTGTTCTTAACCGCTGAGCCATCTCTCCAGCCCCAATTATTTAATATTATAATAGTTTCTCTTTTTCCAACATGTGATTGTGAAAACTTTCAAACTATAGAAAGACTCAAAGAAGGTTATGCTGCCGTCCAGATTTTACCATTAGCATTCGACTGGACTAGGTCAGCACTGTATCTGTGCCTCTAGCCCCTCAGTAGTCATAAATGAGTCTTTCTGTTGTTGATGGTTTTCTTTCCTTCTTTTATATTTTATGTGTATGAGTGTATTGCCTGCGTATGTATAAGTGCACCCATGTCATACAATGCCTGCGGAGGTCAGAAGACAGCATCAGATCACCTGGACTGGAGTTATGGACAGTTATTAGCCACCGTGTTGGGGCTAGGAATTAAACTCAGGTCTTCTCCACCCCGTAAATAAAATATTTAAAAAAATAAAATAATTAAGCTTGTAAAAAATAACAACATAAATAAAATAAAATAATAAAGCTGGGCATGCTGTTTTCTTAGGCCTGGGAAGAGAAATTTCACAGCAGGAGGTGGTGACACGGGCCGAGATGCGGTGACAGATGAAAGGAAGATGTGAAGTGCTAGGAAGACTATCCCATGCCACAAAACATAGAAACGGGACACAAGGGCAGGACAGATGCTCTGTGCTTAGAGCACTGGCTGCTCTTGCAGAAGATGGGGGTTCAGTTCTTAGCGCCCACATGGCAGCTAACAACCGTCCATAACTCCAGTTCCAGGGGATCTGATGCCCTCTTCTGACCTCCACAGGTACTGAACACACATGGTACACTTACATACATGCAAACACACAGAATAATTTTAATGACCTTCACAAAATACAGATGTAATATGAGAGAAAACAAGGGTAGTTGCCTCTGTGCTCCAACTAGAAAAAGAGCTCTTACACAGGCAGGAGACATGCAGAAACCAGGTCTGCATGTGCAGACCATCCTTAACGTTGCCCCCTGCTGACTGAGCAGGGGAACTGTGCTAGCTCGCACTCACCGGGCCAGATTCCACTGTGGACTTCGTCTTCTACTGTCCACGGCTCTCCTGGTTCCTGCTTGGAGAGTACGGTTGGTTTGCTGACTGGAGACCCTGTTCATGGGAAACAATAGAAGACAGGCTCATCAAGTTGAGCTGGTGGTATCGTTTGAATTTGAAATGCTCCCCCACAGGCTCAGTTTAAACACTTGGTCCCCAGCTGATAGAGCTGTTTGGGAAGACTGTAGAACCTTTCAGAAGCGCCATTTAACTGGAGGAGGAGGTCATTGGGAGTGGGCTTTAAAGCTTTATAGTCTGTGTCCCACATCCTGTTCACCCTCTGCCTCCTGAGTGTGTTGCAGCATGAGCAGCCAGCCTCCCCCTCCTGCCCCATGCCTTCCCGGCCTGATGCCTTCCTCACCAAGATGGACTGTATTCCACTGGACTTGTAAGCCAAAATATATGCTTTCTTCCTTAACTCACTTTTGTCAGGGTACTTTACCGCAGCAAAAAGAAAAGTAACTAGGGCAGATGTGGTAAGTCAAGAGGGAATGCTACACTTTGGAGAATAAGCAGCCTTCACTTCCATAACCCCAGGCTTTTCTCTCAGGAAAGAGTGGATTATGTCCTGCTGCAGCGCTATAAAACAATCTGAGCATCTACCACTTCCAAGTGTTACAGGGACAGCTGAAAACAGGAAAAGCCATTGACTGGGGCCCTCCCAGACAACACGGGACAGTCTTGCTCACCCACTGACACGAGGCTGCTGTAGTTCTCCAGCATCACGTCCCAATACAGGTCCTTCTGAGCAGAGTCCAGGAGCTGCCACTCCTCCCCGGTGAACACCACTGCCACATCACCAAACGTCAGGAATTCCTGTAACAACACAGTTCTGTTAATGAATGGCTGTTCCTTTGGCAACATGGGAAGGATTTAACAGAAGACAATAATCTGTTAATATTCATTGTACAGGAAAATGGTATTTGTTTCTTTCTTGCTTTTTTTTTCTCCCTGTAGCCCCAGCTGGTCTGGAACTCATGGAGACCAGGCTAGCCTTGATCACACAGATTTCCACCTGCCTCTACCTCCCAAATGCTGGGGTGAATGGCCTGGGCCACCACATCCATCAGTGTTTTCTTAACACACTGCTTTGGTTGTTTGTTTTTTTTTTTAACAGAAAAATTCACTTTTAATGCAATTGACATTAAGATGTTTGCACATGCATTTCTAATCTCTATATATCTGATTATTACTAGTCATAGTCGGTGTGTATGTAGTTAGCTTTTTTTGCTTTTTATTTTATGTGTATGAGTGTTTGGCCTGCATGTAAGAGCACCCATTCATGCAATACCCACAGATGCCAGAAGGGGACATTGGATCTCCTGGAACTGGAGTTACAGATGGTTGTTAGCTGCCAGGTGGGAACTGGGAACTGAACCCAGGTCCACTACAAGAGCAGCCAGTGCTATTAACCACTGAGCCCTCTTTCCAGTGCCTGTTTTCTTAAAACAGTGTGATAAAATAAAAATCTTAGTAAAGTACTCTGGAACAATGTGGTCATCTATCCAATCAAACATGCTGAAAACCCAGGGCTGGAGAGATGACTAAGTGGTTAAGAGCCCTGACTGCTCTTGCAGAGGACCCAGGTATTTTTCCCAGCACCCGAGAAATAACAATTGTTCATAACTCCAGTTCCAGAGCATCCAACACCCTCTTCTGACCTCCTCGGGCACTGCATGACACAGGTGCACCTATCTACATGCAGGCAATACATTCATACATATAACTTTTTTTTAATGTTGAAAATCAGACATTTCTATAATAGTTGGCATAGAGTCTGACCAATGTAAGAACATGTGATATGTGTATGCACACATATGAACATCTACTTGCCAATAGTAGATTCTATGATCCTTCTAAGTAGATGGATAATTTTTTTTTTTTTTTTGGTCTTTTTGAGACAGGGTCTCCCTTTAGCATCAGCTGGCCTGGAACTTGCTATGTAGACCAGGCTGGCCTCAAACTCACAGAGATCCGCCTGCCTCTGCCTCTGCCTTCTGAGTGCTGGGATTAAAGGCATGCACCACCACACACAGCTGGTTTGATTGTTTGAGACAGAGTTTCATTGCATAGCCCAGGCTGGCCCTGAACTTCCAATCCTCCTAGGTCAGTATCCAAAATGTTAGGACTGTAGTGGGGCATCACCACACCTAGCTCCTGTATAATAAATATTTCTAATGCAACATGAGCCTCTGAGCCTGTATCAAAGTAAGGAATGAAGAGAGCACAGATGACAGTATAACGAGAATGCACCCTATACCACTGTGTTAATAAGCTAAACTAAACAAAGGAGGACACAAGGTACAAAACAAACAGGAGTACTCCATGATCAAGCAACTTTGGAAGACTTATCCTTGAAAGCACATGGCACACATACACCAACAAAAGCATGTGTGTAAATGCACGTGATTACACAGGCTAATATGTCAGATAATGAAACAGTTGTAGGAAACCTGCTTTTGTTCTCGGGAGCAGGATGCCATTATGGACCACCAAAACACATAATCCTAGGAGCCACAAAAAACCAGCAGAGCCTCAGAACTGGGTACCACAACACTTTAACAGCCCTTGAGAAGGTGGGCCTGCTTTCTCACAATTCCTGTAGCTTCCTATGACTCTTTGGCACAGTTACCACAGACATCAGACATGACAGCTACTGCAACCCAGAGGGCCCTGCAGTTAAATACTGCTGTGGAACACTGTCCTCTGGGAATGGTATGGCTGTGACAATCTGGAAATCAGAGCAACTTTGACTGGCTGCAGGAGACCCTCACAAGAGAGTGGACGGTTAATATGCGGGATTCCGCGTGTGCAGCACTTGGGAAAGCACTGCCCACACTGGGTGTGGGACTTCTGATGATGCAGTTGCTTTTCCATCGCCTACACTTGTAAGTAACCCCTCATTCCTGTACATAAACCTAGTAATCTCACTGGTTCACCAGGCTGGACTTGGATGGAATGTTACCACTGGTCTGTGGTTGGCACTCCTCCAGAGGGAAGGGACGCTTGTTGACATTCCCCAGGCAACGTGAGGCGGCAAGCATCTCTCTCCCTCCAACATAAACCACATAGTCTAGGTAGGATCCTATGAAGAATATTTTCCTGATCCTACTTTACTCAGATTTCTCTAGATAGTACGATTTACACTTTACATTTTTCTCTCCGACTGCACTGACTTTTTACAGGCCTCCACATCTCCACAGGGGAACAAAGGAAAGAATTAAGATAAGCCAAAAGTCACCTGGGCCTGCATCATTCTCTTCTGACTTTGGAAGAGGACGATTAACTGGGATGCTCTGTCGTGGCTGCTCGTACTTCAGTGCTAACCCACACGTGTCCCGAGTTTCCTCTTCCGCGCTTCACTCGACTTCTTTAGTTCCATCTGTGCAGCATCTGTAGGCTGGAGAACAAATTACCCTGAGCCGCACATCTTCATTTCACTCCGGTGTTGTGCAGTATAAACTCACCTTAAGGGGCTGGAGAGACAACTCAGTGGTTAAAAGCACTGGCTGCTCTTGCAGAGGACCCAGGTTTGGTTCCTAGCACCCACATACTGGCTAGCAACCTTCTGTTAACTCCAGTTCCAGGGGGCCCGACGCCCTCTCCTGACCTCTGTGGGCACTGCATGACATAGGACCACTAACAAACATGCAGGCAATGCACTCATACATATCACACAGAAATAATAAATATTGTTTTAAAATTAAAAAAATAAACTCACCTTAAATCAAGTCCCCTAAATATCTATTTAATGCTCGGGAAGTTTTTACATATGAGTTCGTAAAGCATAAATCCTTATGAGGGCCACACCTTCCTTCTCTAGAGTGACAGCTGTAAGACTACTACTAGTATATGAAAGAGACATGGGAAGGAAACCAGTGCAGGAAGAGAAACCAGTACAGGACTCCCAGCAGAGGGAGAGCCCTCAGGCACCTCAATTTTAGGAATGAGGACACACTTGTTCTAGTTTGCTTTCAACTGCTGTGACAAAACACTCTGACCAATACCAACTTGAGGAGGAAAGTACCAACTTGGCTGACATCTCCCAGGTCACAGTTCATCAAGGAGCCCAAGGTAGGAACTCAAAGCAGGAACCTGGAGGCAGGAGCTGAAGCACAGGCCATGGAGGAACACTGCTTACTGGCTTGCTCCCCTGGCCTGTGCTCAGCCTGCTTTCTTATCCAACACAGGCCCACCTGCCCAGGGGTGGCACTGCCCACCATGGCTGGGCCCTCCTACATCACTCAACAATCAAGAAAATACCCCACAGACATGGCCACAGGTCAGTCCAACGGAGGCAATTCCCCAATTGAGGCTCCCTCTACCCAGGTGTATCAAGTTGACACTAAAGCTGTCCAGCACAGCACTGAATGCACACTTCTGTCTACATTTCATTGGTGTAGTGTGGTGGGTGTGGGTTGGTGTTTGCTTTGAGACAGGACCTCCCTGTAGCCCCAGCTGCCTGGAACTCACTATGCAGGCTAGGTTGGCCTTCATCTTTGAGATCCTCCTGTCTCTGCCTCCAAGTGCTGGGATTAAAGGTGTGCACTGCCACATCCACTTTCCTTCTGCTTCTTCAAAGTCTTTTTATAGGCTAGAGAGATGGTTCAATAGGTACAGCACTTGCCACACAAACCTGAGGACCTGAGTTTAAATCCCCAAGACCCACATAATGTACACATGTAATCCCCATGCAACTATGGAGAGATGGAAGGCACAGACAAGAAACTCTTGAAAGCTCACAGACCTGCTAACACACAGCTGAGCAGCAGACACCCTGTCCCACACACATGAATACACACACATACTTTTTAAAAGCTCTTTTTACCTTCTAAAGCACACATGGTGTAACTTCAGATCATACAGGACAAATCTCTATCATATTTACCTTTTATTAGCATCCATTCCTTGAGAATCTGTGAGGCTTATGTATAAATTTATAAAGGATGTGGAGCAAAAATACAAATACAACACAAATAAACTTTAAGGAACAAAATACTTCTTGGGAATAAATTAACATTCCCTTGAAAACAACCAAGAAAACTATCCCTAATAGAGGGAGACGGGATGGGGGGGGCAGCAGTGGATGGATGAGATCAATATAATACTCTGTATAAATGGAACTTTCAAAGAATAAAAAAATTATTTTAAAAAAATTATCCCATGGGGCTGGAGAGATGGCCGGGTAGTTAAGAGCAATCCCTGCTCTTGCAACAGACCAGGGTTCAGTTCCCAGCACCCACATGGTAGCCAACAATCACATGTAACTTCCAGGACATCCAACTCCCTTTTCTGGCCTGCAAGGGCATTGCACACATGTAATGCTTGTAAATAAATGCACACAAAACACCCAAGCACATAAAATATAAGTAAGTCTAAAAATAAGATAATAGGCCGGGCATGGTGGCATATGCACTCGGTAGGCAGAGGCAGGTGGCACCAGCACTCGGTAGGCAGAGGCAGGTGGATCTCTGTGAGTTCAAGGCCAGCCTGGTCTACATAGTGAGTTCCAGGAGAGCTGGGGCTACAGGGAGACCCTGTCTCAAAAAAGACCAAAAATAAATAAATAAAATAAAAATAATAATAAAATAATAAAAATAAATATTTTAAAAGTATCCCTAATAACTCAAAACACCATTTCTAGGAACTCTTAAAAAGAAAAATAATGGCCAAAGTGTGCAGATACATAATTTTTTTGCTTCGTTATGTTTCTCATAAGTTCACATTTTTTTGTTTCATTTTTGGAATGGGATATCAGTATGTATTCCAGGCTAGGCTGGAACATGGGATCTTCCTGCCCCAAGCTCCTGAGTGCTAGGATTACAGGCAGGAGCAGCTCCACCCAGCAATACACATTTTTAAAACAGAAAAAAACAACATTCTACACTTAAGATAAAATTACTGTTAGGAGGTTAATAATATAAGTTCATAGCTTTAAATGGTCATGGGGAAAAAAGAAAAACAAAAAGAGGGAGAAAATAACATGTTGAAAGAGGTCTATGATTTTTGTGGCAAAAGACAAAAAACAGGCTGGAGACTTTAAACAGCTTCAATGGTAGAGAGTGTCCACGCAGATGCCCTAGATTCATCCCAAGCATCACAAAAGAGAAAGAAAATCTTAAGTGACTCTGACAGAGTCCACAATGAGCAAGAGGCAGAATCGAGACTAAAAAGTCAGGTTCATTTTGTTCCATCCCATGTATATTTCCATAGTTTGAAAGTTTTCACAATCACATGTTGGAAAAGAGAAAATATTGCAATATTTAAAAATTAAGTCAGTTGGAATTTGCTTATATGAACTTACAGCAATGGTGAGAACGTGCACAAGACCCATCCAAACTCACAGCATGCCAGAGGCCCATGGATCAACCCCCACCACTACAAAGTATAATAATATAATAATATGATTTAGTAATTTGGTAAAATATGAAATAAATATCTAAAATTAACTGTTCCTTTGTTATAGAAAATTATCCTGAAAGCGGATAAAACTCCTGAAAGCAGAGTTTTAAAATAATGCACTAGAATAAAACTAAATAGTAGAAAACCTACAGGTGGGTAAGTACATAATCACAGAATGTTTCTAAATATGATACCTAAATGTCTTTAAGCATTTTATCTCTATCCAAAGGGATACATACATGTAATTATGAATTCACTCATAATACCAACACCTCGAAATTAAGTTTTAAATATTCATGAAACAAAGTGAAAAAGAAAACAATTAACCTGAATTATGACTAACAACATGTGAGCTTAAATTGAAATATTCTAAAGTATGACAAGGCTTGAGTAACAGAATGTACCAAATAGAGATATTTTACTTATATCAGAAAGCGGAGCTGGGGAGATGGCTTAGCGATTAAGTGCACTGGCTGCTCTTCCAGAGGATGAGCGTTCGGTTCCCAGCACCCTCAAGGACTCCAGATGTAGCTCCAGATGGACACCCTCTTCTGGCCTCCACAGGCACCAGCACGCATTTAGTGCACATTCATGCAAGCAAACACTCACACACAAAATAAAGATAAATATGTTTAAAGAAAACAAAAAATATTCAAGCATTAAATGCTGGAACTTATGGGTACGATCCACATCTTAATATAAAACATACTACTTTTAGATATGTTGGATCGCTGATCTCAACAATAACTTTCATTTATAAGAGCGATGTGGTAAGGGTTGATGCGGGATGCCAAGGGAGGTTTCTTTAAACTAGTCCTGGAGAAAGAATTTGAACAGAAGGGGTCGTCAAGGTCCATCAATCCGGTGTTTCAGTGCACAAGGTCTCAGCAACCTGCCCCACCCCCAGCCCCAGCCCCAGCTCAGCACTCTAAAGGTGCAGCCCACATGCACTGCACCAAACACGAGCTCCACACGGGTGGATTCCAAAACCTGCACCGGAAACTCGTGGTCCCTAAGGGCCAGCTCCTCCGGAGTTCAACCCCAGACAAAGCCGGAACCACGCATAACCCCGGCTGACATCCTCCAGCTCACCCTAGACCCTAGAGAGGAAGAAGTAAACTGGCCATGCAGTGCTCGGTCCCCACCAGGACGGATGGCACAGGACCTCCTCCGGGTCCTCCGAGCTCCTAGCACGGGAGCACCGCCCAGCTATCCCCGCAGGAAACCCCGCCGCAACACGCAAGCGCACTCCACCGGGCCCAGCATTCACGCCCCGCCCCCTCCACTCCTGGCCTGATCCCCTCCGACACACCGCAGGGCGCCTCTACCTGGAGAAGTTCCCTGAAAGCCCCGAGTCCCCACCTCTGCAAACATGTACCTTGCTGCGCTACGGCAGCCAACAAGGGCCAAAATATTTTCAGCGTTAGCTAGAGGCAAGATGGTGGCGCCCTGTCTCCTGAGTCCCAAGGGGGCAGCCATCTTTAGACAGCTGACTTCCGGAAGGAAAGATGTACTGAACTAGTGTGCTAGACTGGCGAAAATCACTTCATTCTTTGATTAAAATGAGTAAATATCTCTAGGCTCGGGCTTACAGCATTACGGAAATGGAAAACTTTTGCAATGTGATGGTAATTAATTTCGCAGCAGGGACATCTTTTGAGACAAGAGGCAAACATGAGGGAGGTGAGGGAGGTGAGCAGGGGTCCCCCCACCCCCCCCACCCCCCCCAGCACAGTATGTACGCATGTGGAAAGTGGCCTGAGGAGGTACAGATATGGAGGGTCGGGGCTGGAAGATGGGAAAAGAGCCCTCCAGAGCCGTTTGGTTGAGAGGCAGTGGGGGAAAGCCAGTAAAAGCAAGAAAACTTCAGTACCCTACTTCAGTGGAGCTTTAATTTCAGTCTGGATGGTGCTAAACAGGAAGATAGGATGCAGGACAAATGCCTAGAAAATTAGGGTAGGAAGACAGCTTGGGGAGAACTGAAAGTTGCTTTAAAAACTCTGCAATCTATCTAAAGGAATGTTGGCAACTGATTGCTGCTAGATGAAGAACAGCTGAGCTTCCAAAAACAAGGGACTCCAGACAGGCTGACTAGACTCAGCAAATGGACAAGCACTGGGGATGGCTGGGGGCACTGACAACACAGTGGGCAGTAACAGGGATGACAAGAGTATGTGGGCTCCAGTGGGGGGAGGGAAGCTATGGGAGGGTGCCATTTGGGATGCAGGTATAAAGATTAATAAGATTGTTTGGGATGTTCTGTATGAAATACACAGAAAAAAAATTAAAAAATACATAATTTTAAAAAATTGTAACCGTATGTATACTATAATAGAAATGAGAAACGGTGAATATCATATTACTGGACTAAAATATGAAATGCCTGTTTCAAAAGCCATTGATGGTGGTCACCTTTGTCCCAAGGTGGTCCCTGATTGCCTAACCATGTCTGAGGTTCAGTCACAACTCTGCTGTCAGGGATAGTTAAACGTTGATGAAATCCAAGTGACAGCTTGCCAGGAAATTTCCTCGCAGAGATGAGCAAATGCACAATAACTTTCTTTCATCAGTTAAGAACTAAAACCACAACTAATGTCACCTTGTTTTCACATCATCAAAAATTAAAGAGATGGAACTCACTATGTATACCAGCAGGCTGACCTCGGATTCAGAGATCTGCCTGCCTCTCCCTCCCAAGTGCTGGGATTAAAGGTGTGCACAACCAAGTCAGGCAGAATGAATAAACATTAAACAGGGATTTGTTAGATTGGCTTACACAATACAGTCTGGGTGGTCCAACAATAGCTGTCTTTACAAGGAAGGGGCTAAAGCGACCAGTAGCTGCTCAGTCTATAAGGCTGGATGCCTCAGTAGTCCCAATCTGGTGCTGCTGAGGGTCTGGAGAATTCCTAAAATCCGCCTTGGAAGCTGGAAGAAGCTGGCTTCTGTTATCAGTGAAGGAAAAGGACTTGCAGCAAGTATGAAGGCAAGCAGGCAGAAGGCCAGAGCTATTTTCTTTGGGGGTTGGTTTTACTTTTTTAGAAGGGTCTCCCATAGCACTGCCCCACCTGAAACTCACTATGTAGACCAGGCTGGCCTCAGTCTCACAGAGATCTGCCGGACTCTGCCTCTCCAGTGCTGGGGTTAGCAAAGCTATTTTCTTAGAACTATTTTATCTGGGCTGCCACCTGAAGTTGCTGCCTACATTTAAAGAGGGCCTTCACACTTTAAATAAACTGGTAAAGAAATTCCTTTAAGCAGTGTCCTAGTTTGTTCTGCACTGCTGTGACAAAATACTCTGACCACTATCAACTTGGGGAGGAAAGGGTTTATTTAGCTTACATATCCCAGTTCACAGTTCATCCGGGAGCCCAAGGTAGGAACTCAGGACAGGAACCGGAGCACAGGCCATGGAGGAATGCCGTGTGGCTTGCTCCTCTGGCCACTATTCAGCCTGCTTTCTTATGCAACATAGGCCCACCTGCCCAGGGGTGGCACCACCCACAGTGGCCTGGGCCCTCCCACAGCACTCAACAATCAAGAAGGTGCCCCACGGACATGGACAAAGGCCAGTCCAATGAAGGAAATTTTCCAATTGAGGCTCCCTCAACCCAGGTATGTCAGGTTGACCCTAAAGCTATCCAGCACAGGCAGGATATAGTAGCTCACATTACTCAGGAGGCAGTGGCAGGTAGATCTCTGTTAGTTTGAGGCCAGCCAGTGCTACATAGTGAGACCCTGTCTCAAAAAACACACAAAAAATTCCTTTACAGGTGTGTCCAACAACTAGCTTCCTTTTAGTAAATATGATAATATAGATCCGTAACACTTAACCACTGATATTTCAATTGATGATAAATTACCTGACAGAGCAGAGGAAAGAAAGCACAAATATCTGCTTAATGCATGTGCACGGATA